ATCACTCTTACGCTTCTTGGATTTGTAAAACCCATGCGGGGAAGCTGTGCTAATAGACCTGACATTGGCTAGAAGGGCCACATCAAGCAATTCACTGCAATAACTTAGAAGTCTTTTTGTATGCATAATTAAATATCTACATTCTTTTTTATCCTTACATGTATGGATATACAATAATTTATTGAATGAGTCACAATCCTTAATTGATAGACATATCAGTCATTTCTAGTCTTTTTTTTTTCTTACAAACAATGCTATAGTAAATAACCTTGGACTTCATAGCTCTCTATATATGTAAATATAACTTGAATGGATACCACCAAAAGATAAATGCATTTGTAATTTCTATGAACTATCAAATTGCTCTCCATTGTGGTTGTATCAATTCTAGCACCAATATATAAGAATTGTGTCTTACCAGACCACAGTCATGACGACAAAGTGTGTTACTAAACTTGTAGATTTGTCAATCTGCAGTAACCTGCTGTCATCAAGTCGATCCTGACTCATAGTGACCCTATAGGACTGAGTAGAACTGCTCCATAGGGTTTCCCAGGCTATATATCTTTACAGAAGCAAACTGCCTCATCTTTATCTTGCAGAGTGGCTGTTGAGTTCAAACCACCGATCTTTTGGTTAGCAGCTGAATGCTTTAACCACTACACCACCAGAGCTCTGTAGCAGTAGCATTGTTGTTGTTGCTTTGTGCCATTGAGTCAGACCCAACTCACAGCAACCCCTCCTTGGGTTGCTGAGGCTGTATCACTACAGAAGTAGATTGCCCAACCTTCCTTCCAAGGAATAGCTGGTGGGTTTGAACGGCCAGCCTTCTGAATAGCAGTCAAGTGCCTTAGACACTATGCTACCAGAGCTCCCAGCATTAGCATAGTGTAGCTTTAATTAGCATTTCTTATATAAGAAGTGAAGTTGTATATCTTTTCATGTTCAAAAGCCATTTGTATTTCCTTTTTCACGAACTGTGTATTTTGACCCTTTAAACATTTTTCCATTGCATTGTTTATTTTTTACTTTGCTTATGGTAGTTTCTGCTATGCAGGGGGTTCTTTGTTTCCTACTCACTCCTCGGAAGGAAGATTGGGCAATCTACTTCTGTAGTGATACTGCCTCGGAAACCGAAGCAGGGGGTCACTATAAGTCAGGTCCGACTCGATGGCACATAACAACAACTCTTTATGTGGGAGCTCTGGTGGCACAGTGTGTTGAATTGGCTAAATACTTACAGCTTTCTCCAAGATCATAAAATAATTATTTAATGGTTTATTTTAGCACTTTGTTGTTTTCATTATATATTAGGAAATAAGCATACAGAAAGGTATTTAAATTAAGAGAAATAAAAGGTATTTAATTTAAGAAAATATTCTTGTTCAGGAAATACATGCTAATGTCTGGAACTTTCAAATGGTTTGGTCAAAAAAGAAGAAAGTGTGTATGTGTGTGTATATGTGTGTGTGTAGGAGTTGGGGAAGAAATCAAATATAGTATGATATTAGCAATTGGTGAATCTAGGTGAGGGCATATACATGTTCATTGTACTATTCTTTCAACTTTTAAGAATTTGAAATTCCAAAATAAAAAGAAGGAAAAATAATTTTTAAAATGTATCAAAGAAAGATACAACTTAAAGGCCAGAATAAAAATGAAAGAGAATTAAGAGGTGAAATAAGCTAATATAACATATAGATCCTAGTTTGAACAAATCAGCAGTAAAATGTATTTGGAAATTAGAGGAATTTGAATATGGGTAGGTTACTAGGTAATGTTAAGGAATTATTGTTAATTTTGTGAGCTATGAAGAAAGTACAATTACGTGGGAACAAAGTCTTATTTTTAAAGATGCATGCTGAAATACTCTATATAAAACAGCAAAATGTCATGGTATCTGTAATTTACCTTAAAACAATAATGAAGCAATATGGCAAAATGTTACAATTATTAAATGTCAGTGATAGTTACATGGGTGCTCATTGTACTGATCTCTCTATTTTTCTGTTTGAGGCTTTTTTTTTTTTTTCCATCATAAAAATTTTGCAAATGAAGAAGAAAAATAAAATGTATGAACCTTGTTTTCAGGTTAAGGAATAGAACATTTTAATTACAGTAGATGTTCTTATCTTCTCTTCTCAAGCCTGGCCCTCTCCCTTTTCTATGTCCCTGTACCATTTATTAAATAGTCCATCTTTTTCCTAATGATCTTGTGATGCTTTCTCTTCTTTTGCACTGGAATATCTGCCTGTTCTTGTACCTATACAATATGACATTAATTTGAGTAGTTTATAAATCATCCTGATATCTGCTAGCACAAATTCTGCTTTGTTCTTGTGTCCCCTCCAAACTGTATGTTGGAAATGCAAACTCTTTGTACACACAATTTTTAAATCTTCAATCGAAAAAAAAAATAAACACATACATGGCCCATAGGCATATAAAAAGATGCACAGCATCATTAGGGAAATGCAACATTAAAACCACTATTAGTACCATAGGTTTCCAAGGCTGTGAACCTTTGTGGAAGCCAACTGCCACATTGTTCTCCTGCAAGGCAGCTGATGAGTTCAAACCCCTGACCTTCTGGTTGGCAGCCAGCTGCTTTGACTGCTGTGCCACCAGGCTCCTCATCAGTACCTTAGAACAGCTATACTAAATACTCAACTCACTGCCATTGAGTCATTTCCAAATCATAGCAACCTTTCCTTGGATTTCTGAGACAGTATCTCTACAGAAGTAGATTGCCCAACCTTCCTTCTGAGAAGTGGCTGGTGGATTTGAACCGGCAGCCTTTTGATTAGCAGTAAATGCCTTAGGCACTACGCCACCAGAGCTCCCTATGCTAAGTAGGAAACATGATAAAAAATGTTGGCAAGCTACCCAGAGCGACCGAGTAGTTGATCCTGCGGGCTTGGGACCATAGTCGCAGGGGACATCAAGCTCAATTGGCATAACATACTATACAAAACATTGTTCCACCTCCTACTTTGGCGAGTAGCGACTGGGATCTTAAAAGCTAGCAAGCTGCCATCTAGATGCAACAATGGGTGTCTCCTCATCAAGAAGAAGAAATCAAAATTAATGGAAACAATCAGTCCTTGCGACTGGTACACCATCCGATCTGCAACCTATACAACTATGAGACCAGAAGAACTAGATGGTGCCCAGCTACCACTGTCATCCACTTGGAAGGGATGTAGGAGATCCTGCATAGAGAGGGAGAACAATGTGGAACAAAACTCAAAATCATTTGGAGGCAAAAAAAGGAAGGTGGGGACCAGGTTTGCTGGTCCAATAGAGCCTGGTGGAACCACTGAGACTATGGCCCCTAGCTGCCTTTCGGGTCTGGAATTGAACCCACACCTGTGGTTGCCAGCCAAACAAAGTACAGGCATGTGAGTTAAACATTTACCTCAAGTAGACACACACCCTAGAGAGAACAATCATGGGAGAAGGAAGGGCTGCTTGTGCACAGGGAGACAGCTCAGGGCGTAAAAGAGTATGGAGGGATGGACACTGGGAAGAGGTAACTATGGGGAGGAAGTGGGAGGGGAGCTGTTACATTGTAAATTTTGGTCAATGACATGAGACAAAGTATATTATGTGAACTGCTGTATGAAAAGTGAATTTACTCTGTAAATCTTCACCCAAATCAAAATAAAATTAAAAAAAAAAATGTTGGCAATTATGTGGAGAAATTGGAACCTTCAAACATTGCTGGTACAAATGTAAAATGTAGCAACAACCACTTTGGAAAACAGTTTGGCATAGAAATGTTAAACGTATAACTACAAAATGGCCCAGTAATTCCACTCCTAGTATTTACCCAAGAAAAATTAAAATACATATCCTCATAAAGACTTGCATATATGTGTTCATAGAAGCATTGATACTCATAAAAGCTAAAACCTTGAGATAGATATTATGTTTGGTGATGGAATGACTGGTAATTTTTTCTTTATTTTCTACATTTTTCTTTAATGATTTAACATTAAATTGTTAGAAATATTTGTAAGGAGTAGTTTTTAGTGAAGGGTATACTTAATGACCCAAGTAACTAAGGCCTTGGATATGCCTTGTAGGTCCTTCCTAGGACACATTGTTATTTTCTGAGTGTAGATCTATACTTATCTCAGAGAGCTTGTGGTAAATACGCCTATGATTTAAGTACCCTTTTTTTTTTTTAAGATATTTTTTTTTTTTTTTTGTATGTAGTATATATATTAGGAGCTCTGGTAGCAGAGTTCCTAAGGCACTTGACTGCTAACCAGAAGGCTGGTGGTTCAAACCCACCAGCCACTCCTCAGAAGGAAGGTTGGGCAATTCTACTTCCGTAGTGATACTGCCTCCGAAACCCAAGGAGGGGTCGCTATGAGTCGGGGCCAACTCGACAGCACATAACAACAACACAACAACAGTATATATATAATAAAATATTTATCATTTCAACAGTCTTCACATGTGTAAGTCAATCACATTATGTTCATCATGTTATTCAACCATTACCCTCATTCTTCCCAAAATTTTTCCATCACCCTTAACAGAAGCTCAGTGTCCCCTAATAAATTTATTTTGCAAGCAAGGAAACTGAGACATACAAACATAAAGTAATTTTAGGGCTACCCCCAAACCAAGAGAGCAAATCCATTACCATCCAGTTGGTTCCAAATCACAGCCCCCCTATAGGACAAGACAGAACTGCCCCATGGGGTTTCCAAGGCAGTAAATCTCTACAGGAGCCAATTGCCACATCTCCTTCCCACAGAGTAGCTGTGGGAGCTCCCACAGAGTTCTTCCCACCGTCACCGACTTTTTGATTAGCAACCAGGTGCTTCACCACGGGCTCCTTAGGGTCACCCACCTAGTACATTATGGAGCCAAGTTTTACACTCAATCATTCTGATTCCAGGGTCAGCCACTGTTAGTCATATTATTTTACAGTGATGCTTTCCTTCAGATGTTTTTTCTTATGCTTTAATTTGTTTACATTTTAGGGGTCCAGATTTTATGGAAATGAGTTGAAGAAGGAAAAGCAAGTCAACCAACGAATTGAAAATATGATGCAACAAAAAGCTCAAATTACCAGCCAGCAGCTAAAGAAAGCACAATTACAGGTTTATTCAATTTACTTAGTACAGTGGGAGGTGATAGAATACTAACTGATAGTTAAAATGCATTATGGTCAAGTCATAAGTAAAAACGAAATGTAAAAGCATGCAAATTTAATAAGTGCATACACTGTATACTTTGCTAAGCATTGCTGTACTCTTTTACATAAGGCCCCATACCTAGACATTGTTACTTCCATTTACAGAAGAGTAAATGGAGCTTTAATTGGGTTAAGTAATTTGCACAGCTCCATACATCATGTAATTGGCAGTGTTAAGATTTACTCTAAAAATCTATGTTCTTTTTATTATATACATACAGAATCAGATTACCCAATAAGCAGGGTAAGCACAGGCTTACTTGTGCTTGCTTACTAACCTGTAGAGAAGAATTTCACATTTTTTCCCCACATCAGAGATTCTGCTTCTGGATATAGCTGGCATCTGTCTCGCTCCCTAACCCACACTGCTTTCCCACAGAATCAAAGCTTCTGTTCACATTTACAGTCCCTAACAGGGATGGATATTCAGTAAGCAAGGTAGCACAGACTTACTTGTGCTTACTTACTAATCTATTATGAAAAATTTCACATGAGTTTCACCACATCTTTCTGAAACTGTGCACTTCAGATTAGTAACTAAACACAAGTAAGCCTGTGCTTACCTTACTTATTAGGTAGTCTGCCCCTGTATACATAATTTGCAACTAGGAAAGGTCACAGAATAAATGTGGCAGGTTTTTTTTGCAATACAGATTTTGCAAAAATTTGGGAGAACATGTTAACTAATTAAACTTGGAAATGATTTAAAATGTAATTGTCTTATATTAAAACAAAAAGTTATATCAAAATGGATCAATGACCTTGTGCTGGTTACCTAGTGCCGCTCTGACAAGAATATATCACAAATGGGATGGCCTTAACAAACAGGACTTTAGTCTCTTAGTTTGGAGGCTTTAAGTCCAAGTTTAACGTGCCAGGCTCTAGGGGCTGGGTGAAAGCCCCTCAACCTTGGGGTCCAGCTCTGCCTCCTGCTCCTGGCCGACTGGAGCTAGAGGCATTTCTTCACTCAGACAGCAGCTAGCTGCTGAGGCTGAAAAACCCAAGGTTGACAAGTAAAAAGGCATAGTCCTGATGTTACCAAACCACATGGCAGGCCATTAATTTAAGTCCATTGTAAGTCCCAAGGTCAGCAGAGCGTGGCAGGCTGCTGAACAACAACATGGCTACATGCAGGGTCCTAGCGTGCCATAAGCTAGAGACCATTCACAAAGCTGATCTTATATACAGGAAGCAGACCACATACCCAGAGCAGCTACTCAGCTGCTTATGGTAGATCCCACCATGGAGTTGATTGCCAGTCTCATCATGGGGAATAACTACCGCCAGCTGCCCAGCCACTTAACCAGGCCCAGCCAAGCTGACTCACAAACATAACCACCACAGACCTAAATATAAGAACTAAAACCATAAAACTCCTTCTTAGATATGATACCAAAAGGATGAGCAACAAGACAAAATAGATAAATTAGACTTCATTAAAATGAAAAGCTTTTGTTCTTCAAAAGGACATTATCAACAAAAAGAAGAGACAACTTACAGAATGGCAGATAATATTTAGTAATCATATATCTGATAAGGATTTAATATACAGAATGTACATTTAAAAACCTCCTACAACTCAACCGCAAAAAAGTTAAACAACCCAATTAAAAAACAGGCAAAGGACTTGAATAGACATTTCTTCAAAGAAGTTAAATGATCATATAAGCACATTAAAAGTTGTTCAACATCTTTAGTCATTAGGGAGAGGAAAATAAACTACAATGAGATACCACTTCACCCTCAGTAAAGTAGCTATTATCAGAAAAATGGGAAACAACAGGTTGACTGAGGTGGTGGAGAAATTGGAACCTTTATCCATTTTGGTAAAATAGTGTAGCCGCTATGGCAAATAATTCGGCAATTCCTTAAAATGTTAAACACAGAATTACCTTACAACCCAGAAATTCCACTCTTGGGTATATTTCCAAAAACTTGAAAGCAGGGACTCAAACAGATATTTGTGCAATTACATTCTTTGCAGCATTATTAATAATAGCCAAAAGGTAGAAATAACCCAAGTGTCCATCAACAAGATAAATGGATAAGTAAAATGTTGTATATCCATTCAATGAAATATTACTCAGCCGTAAAGAAAAAATGAAGTTCAGATACATGCTACAGAAAGAATGAACCTTGAAAACTTTATGCTGAGTTAAGTAACTCAGACACAAAAGGGCAAATGTTGTATGATCCCACTTAAGTGGAATATCTAGAATAGGCAAATAGACAAAAAATTATTAGTGGTTACCAGGACTAAGGGAAAGAGGGGAAATGATTGTTATTGCTCAAGGGGTACTGAGTTTCTGTTTAGGGTGATGAAAATCATTTGTAAGTGGATAGTGATGATAGTTGCATACATGCGATATGTAATTAATATCACTGAATTGTGCACTTAAAAATGGTTAGAATGGCAAATGTTTTGTTAAATATATTTCACCACAATAAAATTAAAACCAAAAAAGTCATACTATAGGGTGGAATGCCAAATGTGTAGGATTTTTTTTTTTAATTAATTTTTATTGTGCTTTGGGTAGAAATTTACAGAGCAAATCAGTTTTCCATTCAATAATTTATACACATTTTGTTTCATGCCATTGATTGCAATTCCCACAATGTTGCATCACTCATCCTGCTTCCTACCTGTTTCCCATTTCCATTTCTTCTTTCTTATCCCTTCCTACCTTCTGAACTTGTCTTTGGGCAAATGCTACCGTTTTGATCTCGAATGGTTGATTATTGTAAACAGTGCTTACCTTCCTGATGTTATTATTCATCTTATATAGAGCCATCTGTTGTTTGGCTGAAACAACTTTCAGTTGTTTCATGAGGGTGAATTTAGTTCCAGGCTTGAAGGGTGGTGACTAAGGGTCATAGTCTCTGAGGTTCTACCAGTCTCTCTCCAATCAATGAGACTGATTTTTTTTTTTTAAATGATTTTGCATTTTATTCCACATTTTTCTCCAACTCTATCTATGACTTTCTAATGTGACCCTTTTCAGAGTGGTCTGTAGTGGTAGCCAGGTACCATCTAGTTCTTCTGGTCTGAAGGTCACAGAGGCATTTGTGAATTTATAAGGTAAAACACAAAACTTCTAAAAGTTTGTAGGCTTTTGGGTTCTGCTTCAGGGTCTTCAAGGGGTAGATACTCAAAGTTTCCTCTGCTATTAAAAGTTATTTCAGGAGAAAAATTTGAGAAGAACAGAGTGACCCCATGCTGCAGGACACCATGTGGTGAATTGACAAATGAGAGAAGTCAAAGTATTGCTAGTAAAGCTAAAGTCATGGCCAGACCCATTCACCCTCTATCAAAATCTGATCCAGTGCTCATGAAGCATTTTAAGCTAAACTATAAAGATAAAATTATATTAATCTAATGTGTACAAAATTCTTCTCTGTGATACAGTTCAAAGACCATAAATTTTATGTTTTCTTTACCAAACTATAATGTGGCATTTTTTGATTTATGCTTTACCAAAGCATGAACCAATGTTTATTTTCTGTGTTAAGTGGTCTGCTTTCCTGACAAAAGTTGACTTTCCTGCCAAATCATTATTTTTAATGCTTCATAGAATTCTTCTATATGGAGTTACCATAATTTATTTATCCAGCTTTGGTTCCAGTTTTTTGTTTTATACCTAGTCCTGTGAGGATCATTCTTATTCACATATTTTTGTACTCATGTTCTTTTATTTTCACCAATGGTTGTATTATTTTACATTTTCCACATAAGAGTTCTGGTTTCCTATCATAATTGTTTAAAAGTAAATTAATCAGTTGCCATTGAGCCATTTCCAACTCATGGCAACCCCATGTGTGTCAGAGTAGAATGCTACTCCATAGAATTTCCAATGGCTGATTTTCCAGTAGATTAACAGACTTTTCTTCCAAAGTGCCTCTGGGGGGACTCGAACTTCTAGTCTTTCAGTAAGCATCAGAGCACGTTAACCATTTCCACCATCCAGGAATTCCTGTTTAACATTAAATATTACTAATCTTTCAGTTTTTACTGATATGATGATGCCAAACATTATCTTATGGTTGTTTTAATTTACTTTCCTTTGATTGTGACAGACATAGAGCATCTTTTTTAGTTAGACATTAATACTGGATTCTGGTGGGAATAACCCCTTTATTTCTGTTTGTTAGATATAGACTAAGTTGTTGGCATAAAACTAACCAACCACTGCCACCAAATCGATTGCAACTCACAGCAACCTGATAGGACAGAGTAGAACTGCCCAATGAGGTTTCCAAGGCTGCAAATCTTTGTGGAAGCAGATTGCTTCATCTTTCTCCTGCAGAGTGGCTGGTGGGTTCAAACCACTGACCTTTTGATTAGCAGCCTAATGCTTTAACCACTGTGCCACCAGAGCACCTAGTTGCTAACATAGAAGGCTCAAAAATATGACAGTTTAAATAATATAACCAAACCCACTAATATCGAGTCAATTCTGACTTATAGCAACCCCTGTAGGGTTTCCAAGGCTATAAAACTTTATGGACTCTGCAGAGCAGCTGGTGAATTTGAACTGCTGACCTCTGGTTAGCTGCCAAATGTCTTACTCAGTGTGCCACCAGAGCTCCTTTTAAAAACATAAGAGTTTATTTCTTACATAATAGATAAGGTATTACAGCTGGTGGATCTGATTACCAAGGTAATTTAGAGGCAGGTTCTTTATACCCTGTTGTTCCATCACCCCCTAGTGTTAACTTTATCTGGATTGACAAAACTAGGTCACCTCCATGGAGAAACCAATCACTAATTTTATATGGAAAAGAGAGAGCCCTCAGATAAACAAAGCACTACTGAAGAAGAACAAAGTAGGAGGTCTCACATTCCCTGATCTCAAAATCTACTATACAGCCACAGTAGTTAAAACAGCCTAGTATTAGTACATTACA